GGGACTTCATTGGTAGTAACGGGCGCCCCAAGCGCCCTTAACAGCAACACAAACACGTGCTGGGGGCGCCCACAAGCTTGCGCCCTGTGGGCTACTTTGCCACGGCGCGAACTTCCAAGGGCAAGCACGCAGTGGTAAAGTTGACGTGGACCACCGGGCGCCGCCAGTCCGCATCGTTCGTCACTGGCTGGTTCTGTGTTTCGGTATGTAAACCATCCCCGCATGTTTTGCGACAGGTACTTGCCCGATTGCCTCTCCGCACTTGATTCTGCTATGGTTTCAACAGAGCTCTGGAATCTCGAGAAGGCAGGAGTCCAGCCCTCACATGCAGTTGCCATGCAGATGCTTGGGCTGACGAAAGCTGACGGGCCCGACGGGCCCCTAACCAAGTTGTTCTGCTTGACAGCTTACGAGCCTAAGCTTACGATGCCACAAGGGGCTTGACGTTCTATTGCCCAAATTTGAATCTGGGGCGTATCAGGTCGTTTCAGTTGGGTGCAGGTCAGAAAGAGGTGCATGCCCATGGGGTGGAATTCCAAGGCTCCCCACACTATCATGCGCCCCAGATCGGAACAGATATAGCCGCTACACTGCTGCACCTGACATACTGCTTCCACCTTAATGGCCCGTATGCTTTGCGCAAATCTTTCGATTGCTGTCCGCCACCAGACAACGAAAAGCAACGTGTGATTAAGCAACTCGTTGTCCCGAAGTGCACCGCAAAATCGGAACTGCAGCAAGGTCCCAATGCGTTAGTAGTGAGTTGCAGTAAACGGCCACGCTGCACAACATTCTTGCCTGCGGACACACCGCTGCACATCGCGCACTGGCCACCGCTTTCCCACCCTCCAGCAATGACCTGCGGTGGGCGTCCACGCACCGCACTCCGCGGCACGTCCCCACTCGCTCACGCACAGCTGCTGATCCCAGCGCCTGTGCCGGGTGTCGCCAATTATCCCCAACGCCTTCAGTACACTCGCGCAAATGGCGGGATGTGCTCCATCTCGTCGTCCAGGGGTTTGTCATGCACAGGCCGGTAGTCGATCTTCACCTCCCCAGACTCCAAGTCGCACCAGCCCAGGGAGTGCTTCATCCATACCTCGTCGTCGCGCTTGGGGTAATCCTCGTGGGCGTGCGCCCCGCGGCTCTCCTTGCGCGCCTCGGCGAGGTGCATGGTGATGGCCGCACAGGTCAGTAGGTTCTCCAGCTCCAGAGTTTCCAACAGGTCGGAGTTCCACACCAGCGAGCGGTCTTGGACCTGCGGACAGGGGTCCGTTCCATGCACAGTGTTGTCATGGGGTGGTGGCTTCATTGTGAGAACAGGGTGCTATTTTAGTGCTTAGTATACTTGGTATACAACATAGCAGACTTTGCTTACAACTTAGTATACTCCTTAGTATACTTAGTGATACTTAATATTTAGAAGTTACATGCCTTGAGCACCAATTCCCTCGTTCATAGCAATATTTCTTCCAAAAAGAGAAAGCACAAATGTGACATGATCGATGTTGTGTTTTGCACACATTTCAGCAGCTGCTGCTTCCAGTCTATTCTCACTTCGCCGTTGGTGTACAACAAACATAGATGCCATTTCACTGAGAGCAGCAGGCATCCTTTGCCGTTTCCATGCCGTCTTTGGACAATAAGCCACCAATAGAAATAGAATGGCATTCAGCTGCTGCTTGTAAACGATACTGGAAATTTGTACCTGTTACGATATCATTTGCCTCCCTTCACAGACGATGAAACCGTGGAAGGTGGATAACCAATGGCCCAGAATAGATGGCCATTCTACAAGTACGCTGCCAGTGCATTGGCAACAAGAGGTACCACATAGTATAGACAGGCACATTTCAAATCATCTTCAACATTTTTTCTGCTTTCCATACATTTTACAGCCATTCAACACTGCTAGGACACCGAATCCAGCATTGCGAAATGGCCGACGGTCAGGCGCATCATCGACACCAGCTACACCACTGCTCCGCAATTGCGCAACTCTGCAACGTCAGAGTTAATTGCAAAGGAACCAACAATACTGCTGCAGCATGAATCCTTGATCACATTTCCTTGTGGCACTCACATTTTGGTGACGTGTGCCAGGCACACAGATTGTCAGATATACTGCCAACATCCAGGACTGATACTTGCTGTTAGGAATATGATTTAAAGTATGCTGGAGTTTGCACCCCACTAGCAGCTCATGATGGGACCCGGATCTAACCTTAACGTCCTTGAAGGACTGGACACAATCATCAATCTTCTTGACGCCTTCCTTCAGCGACTCAGATGTTCTGAAGACTGCAGCATGGTTCTGCATGATCTTCTGCATGTTCTTGCGGATCTGGGCGGTGGTCAGGCTGCCCTTTGCATTCCTCAATTTGTCAATCCGCGAGACACTCAGCTCACCGGCATCTGCCGGCAAGTCCTTGTGGGGCATGCCGGGCTTCATTACCTCGCCTGTGGATGCAACAGGTTTGCCTTCAGACAGGGAATGCTCGTGTTCGCAGGCTGCCCCAATGCTATGCACATGAGACAACGAAGCCCATGTTTTGTATACACAATAATGTAGGGACAGTGCTAGCACACTGCTAAACGATGCCATGGGCATCATCAAGTCAATATCAAAGAGCAGAATTGATACAGAAACCCTATCTTGCTTGCTGTCGTTCAATGTAGCTTCACTTCTTTGAAAGCAGCTTCAACAAAAAAACAGATTCATGCAAATACACAGCCATCATGCGTCGTCCCCTGTTGTGAGAACCCAAAGCAGCAGGCCCGTGTGACAAGGCAGCCAAATAACCATTCACAACTCACCGCACGTCAAAGCGCAGCCCCGCCCAAAAATGACGATGTCAAGGAGTGAATTTGCTCCAAGGCGATTGGCACCATGGACTGACGCCGACCCCACCTCCCCTGCAGCCATCAAACCTGGGACCAGGGCGTCTGGGTCACCGTCCTTGGGGCACACCACCTGGCCCTTGTAGTTCGTGGGCGTGCCGCCCATGTTGTAATGGACAGTGGGGATCACGGGTATGGGCTCCTGTGGGAGGTGTGTGTGAAGCATCAGCAATGTTCCACTGTCGTGGGAGGGACATTGTCACCCCAAAAGTGCTGTAGCGATCCACAAATACTTCCATGCATGCGCCCCAACGTGTTGACTGTCAGCACCCTCTAATCTGTACTCTGTGAATTTCGATGGAAACCACTTTGAAAAACGAAAAGAATGAGTGGGCAGCCTTTGTGCTGTCACAGGATGAGCAAAGCGAAGCTCAACTCTGAAACAGGGATGGTGCACGTTCAGACATCACTCTTGCGCACACAGTGCAATCCTGGTCTTGCATACTTTGCCGTCACTTTGACAGCACTTTTGCCAACTTCTGTAAAAGATGGCTTCAAGGGAATCCAGTTCTGTGGAAGAAATGGCAGGAGGCCTAACCTTCGTGACATCGACACCAGCGAATATGCCAGCCGTCTCAGATATGCCTGGCAGTCTCTCTGCCAGAATCTCTGGAGGAAGGTGGTCCAGGTGCAGGAAGATGTGGTCCTTCTCAGGGCCCACACCCCGGCCCTCGCGAATCTCCATCGTCATCGATCGAGACACCACATCACGGGATGCCAGGTCCTTGGCTGTTGGAGCATACCTGTGAAACAAAAAGAAGTGGTCTCACCCCAGGCACCAAGCTGACACCACGATCTCTTGCCATTTCCCATACATTGTGTGCACTTCTCTCGTTCTCCTATGGCACCCTTTCTTTCCCTGCTTCATACATTTTCATTCTCACAGGGAAAGCTGGCCGCACACAAGTGCTTCAGCATGTCACAGTGCACAAGAAACTTGTGCTCTTCAGTATTTGCAGTCAGCTACATCTGCGCTACCATCAAAGATCTGAAAAGGAAGCAGGAAATGCGAACTGCAAACGTGGACCTTGCTGGTTCTTCTGTACTTCCGCATTCCTTTGCTGAAGTTTGGCCCCAAATGGGCAAACTTCTGCATGCAAACAATCGTTTGATACCCACTGTAGCAAGGGCACTTACCCAGCCTACAGCATCCCCAACAGTACCAAAGCCAACCCCACATCACTACTATCACATGTGCAATTCCGTGGTGTGGTCTGCAGGATAAGACAATTCAGCCTACGGCAAGATGCTCTTCCTCTGAGAAATATGCCAGAGGCATGGATGCTAAACTCCCTATCAATTGTTTTGGTGCAGAGCATATAGCTGGATTAAACTAAATATCTGGTACAATGGCTGCATAACACCACAACCCAAGTTGTTGTGGCTTCAACGAATCACCAGAACAAGGTTGTCAACAGGTGTCTCACCAGCAGGTCAACTTGTTCTGTTATGAGGTGGCAAGAGGCATTCTTATTCTTGATGATTCAGGGTTTGCACATAAAATTCCCATGGACCTTGGTACAAACAACAACAGTTGCAACATAGTGGCAAAACACACATGTCCACATGCCCCAAAAGGGTTGCAGCCATTGACGATGCTCACCTCTCCATAAACCTCTCGCCCTGGCTGTTCCTCAGGATGCCTCCCTCCCCCCGGGCCCCTTCCGTAATTAGACAGCCAGCACCATAAATGCCAGTTGGATGGAACTGCACAAATTCCAGGTCCTGCTGTGGCAGTTTCGCCCTGCTCACCATGGCATTGCCATCCCCTATGGAAGCAGCCATGCCAATCAGACGCGGACACTCCCTCACAGGTGCCCCATCAGAGGATGACACTCCAGGCTGTGGCCACAACTCAGATCTACCAACAGATGATGAGACACATTACTGGTTGGTGCTGAATCTCTGCACAATTTGATTGATAAGCACTAAATCAATTGTACTCTTGCACGGCGTGCATGACAATTAAAACTGAAAAGACAGAACGTGCATTGAGCATGATTGTGATTGAAAACATTCTTCAAGTGCATTCGGTTCTACCTGGCCACCTGGGTGTTATCAACAACAGAGCCAGGACGATCCACGATTCCATTGCCAACAATAAGGGGAGATGTGGCAACATGCAACATGAACATGCAGGGGGCAACATGCAACATGCATTTTCTTAGCGGTGCAGAGTGGCTGCTTTTGTCATATCACAATTGCTTTCCTTCTACACATTGATTCTTTCTCCTTGCAGATTTCAGGCACACCACACTGGTGATGTTGTTTCAACCTATGATGCCCCATTAACCTGCGGACACAACAGAGATCTATTGCCACAGGGGAGACACCAACAAGTAATCGACTGTTGAACCTGTGCATATTCTGATCAGCAACAACAATCTCTGCCACTACACACAGGGATTACAGAAGTCGCTAAGAAAGAAACATGCCACCACCCTGTTATAATACACAGCAGCTGTCACCTGTACACGTATGTGCAGAGGTTGCAGAGAAGTAAGCCCTGCCATAGCCCCCCGTTGCCAGGATAGTTTGGTGGGACCTGAAGCGGTGCAGACTTCCATCTTCCATGCAGAGTGCCGTTACACCCCTGCAGCTGCCATCTTTGTCCATTATAAGATCCAGTGCGAAGTACTCCACTGCAACATTGAGGGGAGAGGCAATCCATCAGCATGTTTAGGGGAAGTAAAGTGCCTTGAGTGGTGCTGAATGTCACCAGGGAAATCACAGGTCATTTCCACCATCCAATCCAATAGACTACTGAAACAAGCTGAATATCGAAGGTGGAACTGGAATGGGCACAATCATCTCACACACGCATAACTTTCCAGTGATCAAGAGCAACGGCAACAGTTGCTTTCCCACACGCTCTGTTCCTATTCACTCTCCAGTCTACCTTGTTCCAGGGGATCACTATGCTTGGGAATGTTTAATGCTAACTGCAGCAACTCCAGAAATACGTGCAAGAAGCAGAACACCACCTCTCAGGACATGCAACACATTGTGGCACTCTCGGAAAATGGAGGGCTCAGCCAAGACAAAAATCATAAGGAAATAGAGAAAATGAGCTGCATGAATGGCCATGGCTCACCAAAGAATTGGCAGTCAAACTTCATGGACATCCCATACAGGGTGTGCAGCATGGAGTGCCCTGTCCTGTCCGCAGATGCTGCGCATCTGTACGCCTGGCCACCCTTCCCAAATTTCAAACTCTGCCCACCGAAAGCCCGCTGGTATATCTTGCCGTCCTTGGTCCGGCTGAACGGCAGGCCGTAGTTCTCCAGCTCAATCACAGCCTTGGGTGCCTCCCTGCACATGTACTGGATGGCGTCCTGGTCCCCCAGCCAGTCGCTGCCCTTAACAGTATCGTATGCATGCCAGCGCCAGTCATCCTCTGTCATGTTGCCGAGGGCAGCATTGATGCCACCCTGAGCAGCCACAGTGTGCGATCTGGTGGGGAAGAGCTTCGTTATGCACCTGTGGCAGTTGCAGAGGCAGATTGGAGTTCAGAGGTGGCCATACCAACAAGCCGTCGACCCTGGAAATCGCAAAAAGAAAGTCCCCATGATTGCGCATCTTAATTTCAGCATTATCGCTGAGAAATTGTGCATGGTACAGGATTTGGGTTGAAGGGCTGTGATGAAAGAGGCAAGGTGGAGTCGTTGGGGTGAGCAAGGGTGAAGGCATGTAGGCAGAGGTTGGTTAAGGGCACCAATGTGTTCACAAAATTTGTCACTGAGTAACCAATCGCTGCATTTACGCCCTCAGCGCTTCCTTTGGGAGGGCTGGAAGTGGTTGAGTGGAGGAGGGGGTTATGTTGTTAGGCAACCTGTGCAATGGACTCCTGGCGCCTGCACATCTTCCCAGCCAGCTTTCAACCATCCAGGGGTACCGACTGGCATTAATTGGTGGCTTGTTTACAGAAAATCTAGAGCAGGCGCAAACAGCACCAGTTTTGGGCTTGTCGTCGATCCACGGAAAGGTACAGGCCATTGCAGATTATGACAATGGCGCTATTTATTACGCAACCCACTAGTCCAGATCATCCACAACAGACAAGACACAGTGCCTGGGGCTGCCCCGCAGTCTTGAGCCGCGTCGACCCTGACCTCCAACCGCAATCAGTGTCCCCCTTTCGCAATCTTGACACGAAGTGTGATGCAACCGCGCGGGCAATCCGCACTTCCGCGCACGCCATCACTCGGATCCGCAATTTCCGCATCGCCGAAACACTTCGCGAGCAATGCGGCGCATCGAACCAGTGCTGACCGTCGTTCCATGACCGCGCACGGATCCCCCTCCCCTTTTCCCTTCGCCATTCCGCCGACAGCAATTCGATCCTCCACCCAGCCGCCAATCCCAGCCGCCAAGTTCCGATCGCGCCGTCCGCCGGCCCCTGGCCCCTCTCTCGCGCCGAAGATCCCCTCCCGGCCGGATCCCCCCCCGCTTGCCCAAATCGCGCCGTCACACATCCGCCTATTTCGACTCGGGACCCGGCCGACAACCCCCATTTACGCAGTCCACGAAAACGGATAATCAATTTCTAGTCCCGGCACCGTCGGCTCCGATCCCTGGACCCTTTCCCGTGCAGGCGCCCCTCGCGCGGCGCCCGGAGGGACCCGATCATGCTCACGCTGTCTTGAAGCCCTGCTCCGCGAGACCCACCACCGCCCGCAGCCCCGCACCCCCCGCGCCCACCACGATCGCGTCGTAGGTGTGGTCGACCATCGGGTAGGCCGACTGTGTTGCAAATCCCGCCCCGGCATCGCCGCCCCTCGCCAGGGGGCCCAGTGCCCTCCACAGGCGCTGGCCCGATTGGCGGAACATCTAGTCTCCACGGTCGGAGATTCGGAGGGCTGGATTTTTCAAGGAATGTGGACGGGGAGGGGGCTGGGGAAAGAGTGTCTCGCCGGACCGTGCGCCGCCGGGACCTTCTGCGGCTGGGGCGGTGCGCGCCGCGCGTTGCGCAAGTGGGGCCGGGGGTGCGAGTCGTCACACAAGATGGGCCGAGGGGGGCCATTGGTAACGTCATGGTTTGCGCCCTCGTCACATGGGCACGATGTCTGACGGAGAATGGCCTGCGTTGCAGCGGTTGTAACCACACCAGTCATGCATAAACTCGCGCAGATAAGCCGCTGATTGGTCGCCAGTTGGTTCGCCACTGGGGAAGCGGTTCCGGTGGAGGCGGTCTGGGAACGAGCTGGAGGCCAAGGAGCTGCAGACAGATCCCAAACAGCAATGCCCCTTTGCGTTCGGGTCATCCATTCGGTCCGCGTGTCGTGACTATGCCACGTCACCGCCAACGCTGCGGTTGCGATCGCACGCAAGGATTTGGCGGCTCTTGAAGGATCTGCTGCATTTTCATGGGCATTTCATGGGACTAATGGCGATTTCGGGCAAGCTCCAGGCGATCCGTCAACGCTGGCGGATCCCGATGTCGGTGCCAAACGAAAAAAGTGGATCCATGTGGAGCGTTGTCCCGTATCGGAGTCAAAGGAACTGGTGCGGTGCCCATGGCATGGGTGGACACGAGACAAATGGGCACCACTTGAAGCAGCCGCATCCTTCTGCAGCTTCATTCCGGGCTTCGTTGCATCGCTTCTTGAACGAATGGAACGGCCGCGCGGCCAGGTGGAGTCCGCTGACGTCCGACGTCCACACTGCAGACAATTGGGCCATTCTGCATTTCGTTGTGCAATACCTTGAAGGAATATGCTCAACTAACCATGCACACCGCTTTTCTTGGGGAAAACAGGGACCCGAGGGCTACCTCCCTGCCCTCATATGTACAGTACCAGTATGTGCTAGTATAACTTCCTGAAGAAGATCCTCAACGTGCGGTGGTCGTCACGTCTCCCCATTAAACCAATTTGCGGCCCTGTCTCGTCGTCATTTTGTTTCCACACACTCAGCCCTGACACGCACTCGGGCCCCATTTCTCCCTGGTCTGCGCCGCCGTCAGGCCATCGTCGTGGAGCGGCCTGTTGCGACCGTGCGGCGGGCGCGATGCAGATCTTCGTGAAGACCCTCACGGGCAAGACCATCACCCTAGAGGTGGAGGCCTCGGACACGATCGAAAATGTGAAGGCGAAGATCCAGGACAAGGAGGGTGGGTGCGCGGCTGCCCGAGGGGGCGCAGGTCCCGCTGCTGAGGCGAGCAGCTCGTTTGCTCGCCGTTTGAAACGAGACATGACTCTTCTTTTACCATTCTTTATGGATTCGCGAGCCTGGGGCGCGCGTTGATTAAAATTTGCGCGCGGCCTGGTGTTGGATTTCTATCAAGCGAGGCGGCTGAGTGGCATCGTCAGATTTGGAGCGTTCCGCTGACCCTGTGGGCCGCTCGCGTTGAGTTTCTGGCCGCGCAGCGGGAGTTTTGAATGCGCGACTGGCGGCGCGGTCGCTGCGCGGGACTGGCCTCCCTGGAGTGCCGCCGGATTTGGGTGAACAAGATTGGCGGGTGCGAGACTGCGACTCTGGACATTGTTGTGTGTCCGGTGCGCAGGGATCCCGCCGGACCAGCAGCGCCTCATCTTCGCTGGGAAGCAGCTTGAGGATGGGAGGACACTGGCGGACTACAATATTCAGAAAGGTGGCCATGTTTGGGCGTTGCATGGGTGGCTGCTCTTGCTGTTGTTGTCAATCAGATTGCCAGAAGTTGCTGCGCTGTAAGCGTTTCATGTTTCCGTCCTGTGCACGTATTCGAACTGGAAGTATAGATCCTGTGTTTTTGCCCGTTTTGGGTGCGTGGGTGTGACATGCACCATACTTTGTCACTGCTGCATGCCATTGTTTCAGTGCCATTCTTTGTCAGACGACATAGCGTCCATGACAGACAACCCGAGCCAGTTTTGTCGCGCCATCTGCCCGATTGCAGCAGACCTGGCTCTTGCAGCACTCCTAAAGATACACTGCAAGTGGCTAGTTCCCAACGACGCTTGTTTGTCACATCTGACTGCATAGCAGGGAAGTGACAAGTGTTGGTGCTCATGTGTAGTAGATTTGCGCTTGGGATCCTGCAGCTTGCGGAAACGGTAGGATAGGCAACTGGCTTGTGTCTCAAGTGCAGCTCACCGCTATGCTGTTGCAACACATAGCCATCACGTTGGACCTGTTCCTGTGCACACGATATTGATGCCTGCCCTGCATGTGCCCCAGTATGATTGACCGCATGTGCATTTGTCTTGTAGAGTCCACCCTGCACCTGGTCCTTCGATTGAGGGGTGGCATCATTGAGCCGTCTCTGCAGATCTTGGCAAGGAGATACAACCAGGACAAGCAGATCTGCCGCAAGTAAGATGGACGTTTTAAACCAGAGGTGCCAGAGATTCCAGAGGTGCCACAGATGTTCCAATTGCCACATGGATAGCCCTTGACTTGCTCATCGGACGTGGAAATGTGCTTAGCACTGCTGGCCCTCTGTGTGCACAACTGGTCTTTTGTTAGATAGTTGTTTCATTGGGTCATCACTGCTGAGAACATCAATGCAAATCATGATCAAAGGACAGGCGATGGGTGGATTGGCAGAATCTTGTCCATCATCGTGTGAAAACGTGCTCAGATGGCCCATTGATCGCTATATGGCCAAGCGTTGGCAAACAAATTGGTGCCGCATTTTCAGATAGGAAAGTGGGGCAACACTGCTGTTGAATTAGGTACAAGAGGAACTATCACTAATTTTTTTGCACTCTATTTTGTTGTATTCCCCATATGTGACAAACTACTAGACAGCCTTGCAGGATTGGATGTGTCTCACATCAACTCATGCCCTGTGCGTTTGCCACGTTATTTATGTTGTGAACTTGTCATGTAATAGGGGTTGAGAAAGTTGCCTAATCACTCAGGAGCGAGGAGTGGGAGCCCATTGCTGAGAACTGGATGTGACATGTTTTCCTTTCTCTGGAACAATTGTCAAGTGCTGAGAAGTGCAAATTGACCAGTCAACGCTTTTGTCCCAATTCAGTGTCAGTGCTGCACTCACTTTGCAACTGCTTGCAGGGTATACATGAGAATTACTGTCTTTATATCATTTGTGCATAATTCGTTGGCCTGTAACAGCCGAGGATTGACAACCGTTTCCCCTTGCACCTGTGAGGCGATGACTGAACCTGCAAATTCGTCCTTGTTTGTTGGATTGCAGCAAAGGGGCTTGCATGATGGACCCAATTCTCTTACAGAGTGACTTTTGGATGGTATGCCCTTGGCAGGTGCTACGCCCGCATGCACCCACGTGCCACCAACTGCAGGAAGAAGAAGTGTGGCCGCACCAGCCAGCTGAGGCCCAAGAAGAAGCTGAAGTGATGCAATCCTGCAAGGCAGTGTTGGCAGCTTAGCCATTTCCAGACAGCAAGAATGCAGCCTGGGGTCATTCTGGGCAGCAGGGCTTGAACTTCTATGGATGGCGGAGGCCGACAGGTCATTGTGCAGATGGTTGCAACGTGGGACATGCAAAGGATGCAATGCAGTGGAAGTATGCGCAGGGAATGTTCGTTGATGTCTTTGGACACAACATTTAGTCCTGGTGCTCCTGAAGGAGCTGTAGGCATGCAGAACAAGGCGAATTCCTTCAAGAAGCCCACAGCTCCTGCCAATGCTGTTCCATTCAGCAGTGCCGAAATCGCCACCAGGTGCGCCATGTGGGTACTGCTGTCCATTGCCAACCGCCACCTCCTTGATATCCACACCAACGCTGTCAGCCAGGCGCAGGTCCACTCGACTGCGTGGCTGCAACACACACTCTCAAAAAGCAAACGTCTGCATACAGGGCAGGGTCGGGCTGCCTGAAGACTACCAGTGCCAGAGCCATATGTGCCCTCGCGTGCCACGCGCAGAATGCCACCCATGGGCCACCTTATGCTGCATTTCCTGGCAGTGGCCCTGTCCCGGTGGGCAAGCAACCACACCCTCTGGCGCTGTTCATGCATGCCATGAGAATGCCACAGGAATGTGCGGCGACGGTGCGAGGCGACAGCAGTCGTCGACGACTCCTTATGGTTTCGGTGTGTGGCCCCTGCAGTGCTGGCGTTGCCCACTGCAATCTCTTGCTCCCCCATTGCCATGTTCCTCGCAAAGCCAGAACCCAACACCTCTGCGCGAGATAAGGACCCCGCACATTTGCACAAACTGGCCTTCAAATCTGAAAAACGTGCTCGCAACGGACTCCTCATCACCATCAATGATGCTGGTGCAGGTCCCTTCAAACCTGACAGAAACATTTAAAACTGCAAAGCCTTGTGAAACGCATTTTCCTTTTTGTGGTGGGGAATCTGCATGGGGCGCACATGCCTTTCGCTCCGCGCAGTACTTGGGCACCGGAACGTAGGCCCACCCGTCCAGTACTTTATCGACCCCCGCCCCTCCTCTCCACTCGCCCACAACCTAACCACCACCAGGTTTCCAGAAAAGGCAGCCGTGTCCGAGCGCTTTTTCAAACGGGCCGCCGGTCAGTACATTGCGTGGAATCCGCGCCAGCGCCCCCGAGCCACAACACCCCTTGCCGGATCGATTGGGTCGGTCAGGCCGCCTGCCCCCACCGCCTCCCACCGCCTCCGCCGCGCCACCGCCTTGCAGCCCGAGGCTCGCCGGCCTTGGGCCCGCAGCGACAGCGGACAGAGAAAACTCTGCGTGGTGGCGGTGCCCATTTGGCCGTCATTTCATCGATGCTGCCAGCTGACTGCTACCCGCGGGCCGGCCTCAAGGGCTTGCGCGCCGGCGGGGAGGGCACCTGGTCGATCGACGACAGCGCGCACGAGGCGTCCGCCGGAACTCCCGCCGGCTGCCAGGAGAGGGATGACGGCTTCGGATCCGATCTGGGCAGCCCCAGGCCGCCGCCGGCGGGTGGGGCCCATGCTGGGGATGCGAGGAACATCGCGGCCACGGTGGAGGGGATATTGAATCGGAACGACGAACTGGAGCGCGAGGTGCGCGACCTGCGGCGCCAGCTGCAGATGCGCAAGCTCAGGGATCGGATGGACCCCCCAGCGGGGGGGAGCGTGCCGGGGATGGCCGCCAGGGGGGGCGATGTTCGAGCCAGGGGCGATGAATTCCGGGCGCCGGAGGCCCGGGCGCCGGGGCGCGTGGCGCTGGCGATCGAGGCGCTCCGCGCCCGGCTGGAGGAGCAGCGCGAGGAGCACCGGCGGTCCAGGGAGTGCAGGGACGAGGTGTGGGCGGACCTGAAGAGCTCGCTGGCGGAGATCCGAGAGCGCTTCGAGCGGGGCGTGCGGCCGCCACAGAACCGGCCGGACGGCGTGCCGTCGACGATCGACGAGGAGCGTAGTGAGGAGGGGGACGCCTGAGGCACGCGGGGCCGGGGATTCGGTTTGTGGGGGAGGCATGCGGATCCGAGCATGGGGGTTTGGGGTTTTGGCGGGGTTGTGCGTGGCGTCGTTTTGGCGTCCGTGTGTGTTTGTGAAGATGTGGTAAAATCCCCGAAGCACAGGGCAGGCGATGGAGCACCCCCCCCTGAGCAAGTGCGCAGCGGGCCCCGTTCCGCTTGCGGCGTTGTGGGTGCCGCCGTGCGTGTTCGTGTGTTTTGGGTGGCGGGTGTGCCAACGATCCGAGAAGAGCATTTCGGTGTATGGGATTGGGCGGGAGAGGGGCCGCTGGGGCGGGCACGGCGGGCGCGTGGGTGAAGATGATCGTCCCGGGGACCGCAGGCTTGGTCGGGCAGGTTTTCTAGCGCCGCGCCGGCTGGGAATGAATCGGCATTGATGGGCAGAGGTGCAGGCCCGCGGCGTTCGCTAAGGCTGGCGCCGGTCGCGGAACGGCGCCCGGATCGCGGCGAGCGAGCTCCCAGGCCATCTTCTGCTGGATCTGTGGGTGGCATCGCTGCGCCTGCTGGAACGGGTGGGGCGGGGGAGCTGGAGTGGGGGAGGTTGGGATCAGTCCGGGGGCTTGGCACTTGTAAATTGGGGATTCAAGACGTCGACGCTCGGCGGGGCGGGGTGCGGCATCGCCGAGTGCTGTGAGCGGTGTTGGCGAAGAAGTGGAGTCTGCGCCGGGAGCAGTGTGATGGAGCGGGGCAGTGGTGGGCCCGATGAGATGGGCGTTTGTCCTTGGCGCGGCTGGCGCACCTAGACCCAAGGGTGCTATGCCGAGCAGGGAAGTGAGGCAGCAGGCAGGGGTGTGTCCCTGTGGCTCGCACCTGGGTTGCTATCTATTGTTCTTTACCTAGGGCGTGAACAGGCAACCCCCGCGACGTCCGCAACCCCTGGGTGGTGTTTGTGTTTCACTCCTGACTGTTGTGTGCGCCGGTTGTGTGGGCGGACGACCGGGCAATGGGTTCGTTTTATTGTCTTTGAAGCCACTTTGTCTCTTGGATGGTGCTGCAGCTATGCTACTGTAACACTGCTGGGTCCCTGGTGCAAGTTGGAGATTGTGGAGTCCAAGGTGATGCAGGCCGTGTGGAGTAGCGGTGCAGGATGAAAGTCGTTCATCAAGATGGCTAGGACCTGGTCTCCATGTGGCTACACCACTGCCCGTGCAGCCCTGCATCTCCTTTCTTTGCGCTGCCAGGGATCTGTGGATTGGGAATTCGAAGAACTTCACACGCGCCTGGGTCAATCGATTCTCACCCAGGCCCTTCACTGATTGCAGAGTGGCCACAAGTTTACACGTTGGACGTGCCTATGCAGTGCATTGATCTGCTTTTATACGCCGATGAGCCAAGACTGGAAATTCACTTGTGTTGCTTCACCTGTCGAATGCAAGGAATTTCAAGTCTGCAATGGCATCCTCCTTCGTGGTCCAGCACATGAATTTTTCAGATTATTATGCGGCTCATCGCTGCAGATGCCCAACCGTTTTAGTGGCCGATCGAGCTGTTGTACCACAAAGCCCAAAACGCCAATAGCCAATGGCAGCATGTCGATAACCCGTCGTTAGTGTTTCTGTAGCAGGAAGCATGGCCTCACAAGAGTGTATGGGAAGTTGCATGGCTGCAAATCAAATTTTTCTCCACTCAGCAAATGGGCTGGCCATCTTACCGCAACCCGCACCAGGATATCTGGAGTGAGTGGCATCAAGGAGCAGCTGTCTAGGCAGCAGCCGTCAGACAGCATTCCCAGTGTGCCTGTGCTTGGCGAGTCAGCCATGCTGTACAACACAGCCTGACATTCCGCATTTTCTATTTTGGAACTGCACCTGCACCATGCCCAGCAGGTACACTGTCCTACTCACTCCCACAGAAACCTAGGCAGCTGCACTATATGAAGTCACAACAGTTGACCAAATTTCCACAGCTGAATCTGCTGCACACAATCCCAGATGAAATACAGCAAACAGTTAAAGTGCATTCGATAGCTCACAGTTCCCAGTAAATGCTCAGTCCCTGCCACAACATCCTGCTCATCCCCCCCCACCCCCCACCCCACCCCCCACACCCCCCACACCCCCCACACCCCCACCCCAACCCCACCTGCGTCACCGCCTTGGCCTCCTCCCTGAGCCCCTTCTGAAACCTCCTGTGACAGCCACCCTCCCTTCCCCTCCACCCCTGCCTCGTCCTCGTCCTCGTCCTCGTCCTCTTCCTCTTCCTCTCCCAACCCCTTTGGTGTCTCCTTCCTGGAAGAATGTTACCTCCTTGGAGCCAGACACCCTGCACACGCAGTCATCCTCCATTGCAGCCCCATGTCATTATTCTCAGGCTGCATGCCTTCCATGTATGAAAGACGATGTTTAGCCATGTCCGGGCAGCTGCATCCAGACATGTGTGATGCACGGCCGACAACATGACGGGTGACATTATGATGCTGGAAACCCGCAGTGTGTTGAACAAACGATTGTTGAGGCGGCACGTGGCATGTCCAAAAGCACTTGCAATTCAAGCCCTCGATAGCGCACACAGCGATGTCGTCGCCTCTCAAGGTGCAAGGGCCTTGTTTTGTAATGTGTCGTTGACTATGTAACAATCGGAATTCGCATACCAGCAATGTGTGACAGCATAGCAGATCCCTCCAAACTCTCCCATTTACACTGGGAATGACAATGATCAGGCTCCTCTATCCCAACCCATGAACAGTACACCAAAGGTAAACGCCCGCCATTGCTTTCCTAGGCGGATGGACAATGCTGTATTACTTCTACCAAACGTTTCCGACCCAGATGCATAGCAGGAGGGCCATGCGAAGCTGCCTGTTGTATCCAGCAAGGTGGATGAACAAGCTTGATGGTTAATGCCAGCTGCATTGCAGTGTATGAAAGTCTTATGCCAATCGGCACAGCAAACTACTTTTGTAGTCGGTCTCACATGCAAGCATACAAGCACACAAACCCGCAACCAACGCCGCTATGCTTGTGAGAATCTGCAAGTGTAAGGAAGACAAGCGATAAGTTGGCCACCATCCACCATAGCAGGACGTTTCGCAGTGTTGCCATCTTGCGTTTGGACTAGAAATGAATGGACTGGCGCAACAATGGACAATAGTCTTTGCCCCCTTGAAGGTTCGATTATATACCTGCAATCTGTGGCAGTGCGCTGCAGATGCACACACTTCAATCCCATGCAGTGACAATTCTGCACATCAACAAAAGAAATCCAAGTCAATGCAGGCTGCAATATCAACCCATCCTCCCCACCTCTCCTTCGCCTTGGTGCCCACTTCTCCTGATACTATCCTTTGCTCAAGCGGCACACTCTCTAGATGGGCGAACGTCTCATGTTTTCGGAATGCATCAGCTGATGCACTGGTCTTTGCAGCCAGCATCCGTGGCACCCTGCCTGGCTTGCTCGTCGACTCCTTGATCTGCAAGTGCATTGCAGGGTGTCAGAACTTGTAAAGGGCTGTTTGGCCTTGTTATGTTGTCCTACTTGTAGTCAGCAGACCACAATCGCCCATTTTCTAGGACTCAAAGATTGGCAGCCCTTCAGAGAGCCAGATGACTTGACGCTCCGCAGCCCCAGTGCATTCACGTCGCACGCGGCTTGTGCAAAATACGCTTCCGCAAAGGAGCGACTGAGACTGCCTAGTGCCTTATCCTCTTGCTGTTTGACCCAGCAACAAAGCTCAAGGACAGGATCTCAGTTCTGGCCGCAGGAGGTCGCATTGACTGCCTCTGTTGGAAAGACCCCCCATTCAGCACCACAACAATGCCATCTTGCAACAACAGATCTATGTTGCAGGTCGTGTTTGCAGAGCAGCTCAGAATTCATAGAGCAACTTCCATATTTCGAGGATGCTTGTGGCAGAACGTGAAGGCCATGGCCCTGACACATGTATTGTTGGAACTGGAATGCCATGCATGGAACAAGCATTTGTTGCCTAACCTTGCCAACACGCACATGAGAGTGGGGCTTCTGGTCTTCAGTTCGTGGCTGCTCTTCATATTCTTCTGCACTGTCGCTGTGTTGTTCGACTTCTCTGAAGTGTTCGTTCAAGAGCTCTTCTTGCACTGGCTTAGTCATCTTGGCTGCAGATTCCACAATGAATTTGCACGTGAGGAGCGATCCGTTGCAGTGAGCCCAACAGCGTGATTTTCGAAAGTCTGTATGGCACGGGCCAGCAGATGGAACTGGCATGTGAAGCTGGAGGTGCTCAACACGTTCTTGCACAAGAAACAAAATGGCTAGCTGTGCAGCAAAGAACCGGTGCATGGTCTGGGTGCATATTGCACACTGTCTTCGGTATTCTGTGCCCTGAGCACTGCAAGTGAGCATTAATCTGCCTCACTTTGAATTTCTGCAGGCAATTGCCCTATTGTTCTTTTGCTCCAGCCTTGAAATACCCCACAATGTGGGTTCTCTTCAGAATTTCGAGATAAACATGAAGCACAACAACAAGGCACGTTTTTGGACCTCCACCAAACATGCCCAGTGCATTTGTCCCTGGTATATGCCACATCTACTGTAGCGATGTACTTGACCAATAAATCCTCTTCCATTGATCATCCAACGTTGAAAGCCCATCGTACTGCAACACGTGGAAATGTGCACATATTGCAAGCCGTCATTGCCACTGCAAGGACAAGACAGGTGCACTTGGTGACATGGCTGGATCCTAAGGTGACAACAACTGGGGACACCATTCAATTGTCTCCAGCATCACAAGACAACAATCGGGTTGCTGCAGCTTCCGACTTATGCCATGCCATTGCAATGCATACAGCCAGCTGCTTTCACTCTGTGCCACAGACACAGGCCATATACATGGTGACGTTCACTGATCAAGCTGCTTCCAATGCTGCAGCAGGATTGATGGGTAATGTCCTCTGTCAAGAATTGAAGTATATTTTACCACAGGGTGGAACAGGCATCTAATGCTGACTTTTGTGTATGGCTACTGAGTGGCGCTCATTAACTGTCAAATCCCTTTGGTTGTGGCACGAATTATGCCCATCAAGGCTCACCTTCATGTGGGTGAAGAGCCAAGTAGTGCTCACTCTTTTCGTCGACCACAAAGGCGTCATCTTCAAACATCGCCTTAAACCGCGGGTCGCTGAGCGGGTCTGCTACAAAGCCCTTCTTCTGCCTCTTTCTCATTCCTGTGTCATCGTCCTCTTCGGCGTCTGCAGTCAATGGATGCGATGTGCCTTGCTTCCTTGCCAGTATGCGGGCAGCCTCCTTGGCATTGACCTTGGGCAGCTTCCTGACAATGCTGATTCGTGACTGGCGCTCTTCCTCGATCTTTTTCTTTATTCTCTCTTGCCTGTATGTCTCGTAGCTGATAACATGCAACAGACGTTTGTCAAACACTTCAGCAATTTGATGTGCATCACATATTGGGATGGAAAGGAGCAAAAGTCGGTGAGAGTCGATGCTGCTAGGCATGTGGGTCTGGGAGGGACATCACCGCTCAGGTTGGTGAACACTCGCAACCCGTGAATGGGTCAAATTGGAATTACAATGCAATGTGCAACACACAATGGCTAAAAACTTGTAAACTAGGTCCAATTGGGTAACAACTGCTTGTGGTATAAAGCAGCACACGCCACTATGGGCAAAAACCTCTCCGGAGCAGGATTTCTTCCAAGACTCTTGCACAATACATGACTATGCATTTGCCTTGGAGGGATCAGCTACCTCCCAACAACAGACATTCCACAGATGCTCCAACTCCAGGTTGCACAAAGTCCTTGGAGGGGTTTCAGACCAACAGACAACTTTTGCATGTTGGCCTTTGTTTTACAGGCACTGTGCTCATGATTCCCTAGCCACAGCAGAACAATACACAGTGCTGGGTGACACAAAAGCCAAATTCTTCAAACTCACGCAAATGGCTTCGCAATAGACTTGGCCTTGGTATACAGTCGGTTGTCGATGAAATAGCCATGCATGTAGGCCTTCAACATGGGAGTTCCCAGCAGCTGCTGCAGGCCAAGGCTGTCCAGCTCCTGACGTGTCACAAACCTGCAGACAGCCAACCAAAAACATTGAAAAGATGCTGCCTTTGCTGCCCTCTGTGTGCTTCAGTTGTGCTATGCTTGCCCAATTCAGGGGATGAGATTCAAAGTGCTGGGCACTTCCAATGATGAGGTGTCTGGCATCATGTGCTGGCCACTGACAAGTGAAGAATTGAAGCCTAAGGATAGATTCATTGACATCCCTATCCAACTGACTCATGACAGTCTAACAAAACACTGCATTCTAATTCTGCAGATGACAGCATGACAACAAAGGTGCGCCCTTTACAAAAGTACTCAGCAATCAACACGCGGTCGCACCTCCAACGGAGGAAAATAGCAGGAGTGATAGAGCCACAGGTGTTCAGATGCAGCAAGCTAAAACGTTGCTGTGTTGATATTATTCATATCTATGGTGCTGGCATTCAGTACAAGAGACAGGCAGCATACCGCTGCATCCTGAAACTACTGAAGACCAGAATATCCAAGCACGAAGTGCACAGCTGCATTTTGTGCCATGTCGTTCGTCATAGCCAAGTGAAATTGGTACTGGCCACTGGTGCCGGGCTCTCGATGCAATCATTCCGTATCGGACCACTCAGCTTATTAATTGCGCGGGATAAGTTGTCTATATACATTTTCTGCGAGAGTCTGCTTGCTACATCACCACAAAGCGCTCTCCCACGGCTCCATCATTCCCGCATCTGGCACGCACCAAGCTTCCCTCTGCTGGTTAGAAACTCCAGATAGCGAGTGGATAAACTTGGGAACAGTTGCGGGGCATGCAGCGCCTGTAAATCATCATATATCTAGCACACCACTCCACATCCCTCCAACTCTTCAGTGAGACCTTCCAGGAAGGAGCACCACTGAGGCGCAGGCCCCAGTGAAGGAACAAAATAGGCCTGCACGAATGCATACAGCCACAGTCGAAAAGCCTGGCAATGTGCATGTATCCTAGTTCAAGCCCACAAACAAACATAGCCTAATTTCCGTGCTTTTCAACAAGAATCCCCAAGTACAACCTCAGGGCAGACAAAATCTGTTCAGGCTGCACCCCAAGGAGATCGTGAACAGTCAACAATCTCCATGCCACAGCCCTCTATTCTGCTCTTCACTTGTGTTCATACAGCTCACTGCCACAGATGCCCCACAGCCTGGATATAAAGAAACCAAACCTTATGAAATCTGCCGATCTGTTGATCTGGTAGCCATTTACCTCAATCTTGGGCTGGTCGCAGCCAACCATGAACAGCCCACTGTCTTTCCACACGCATACATCATTGATGCTGCCGCATTCTGGCTCAATGCTGGCATACATCTCCCCCGTGTCCACCTCCCAGGCCTTTATGATGTGGGAGTCTGAGCTGATGACTCGCTTGCTGCCCCCAAGGCCTCCAATGCCACCAGTTGAGGAGTGGAATTTGATATCCAAGATTTTGGAACCATACATGTGGTCTTTGACTTGGAGGGGCCTTGGTGACCGGAGGTCAAAAAGGGCCACGCAGCCTGTGCTGGTGCCAGCAGCGACTTGCAGGCCCATGTCGTCGAAACACAGGGATGTCAGTTCAGCACCTGGCTGGTTGAAAATGCAGACAATAGTATCAGCTTAGCAGCTGGTTACCATGGAAAACGTGTGCAAATAACAAGCCCTCCGACCTTGCATCGCCTGTTCACCAATGTGATTGGGCAACCACAGATTGACGCCTGTGATCAGCAATGAGTCTTGCTGTGGATGATACCTGGGGGCACCGCTCTGGACAAGCATGCCAGCCAGGTATGCCGTGTCACCGTCGGGGACAATGTCACACATTGTCCATTTCAGCCTTCTGGGTACAGTTGTTTTGGCATCGGCTATTGTCCTCAAAATTGAAGAACATATGAACTGTGATATGGGAACAAGTATTTCATTGAAAAGCATGTCTGAGGAGTAACTACATCAAAGCACCCTAAAGAATGATAGCAACAGGGAGAACATGACAGACTGCAAAGGGTACGACACAAAAAGAGAGCAAATGCACACTCACTGCCCCAGCGACTGCCGCAGCATCAACTTGGCCAACATGTTTTCTTTGCCTCAGGTCGAAGCACTCCAGCAGACCCCCAGACCCAGCACAGCCAAACAATCCATGTGCCGAGGACCATCCTGAGCCAGCAGCCTTTGTCAGGATTGAAAAAACAGCCAAGGTACTCTGAAACTATCAAACATACATCAATACTCACAAAAACATGTTCAATGTATGTGCTGTACCTGTAAGCTTAACATACACTTGTCAGGTGCCAGCTGACCTATAGGCACGTCCAAACATGCCTGGAGCCATTCATGTGTGGCATATATGTATCTATATGTATCTGTATGTATCTGTATGTATATGTATCTAGGTTGTTCGGCGATGAAATGGCATGGAGATGTTTTTGACTTGTAAAAGATGCAGATTCCACCAAAGGGGAAACCTGCCATGGAATGCCTCTGTGTAGGCAGCAAGCGCAGAGTGATTTCCTGCTGCACATACACCTGCAACGCTTATCATAGCAAGATGTACAGATGTTGTTCAATTGAAGCAACAGTGCAGTGTTCAGGCGTGCACATTTGGACATGCTCCATGTGTGCCCCAACAATGCACTGTATGCTGGCACGAAACTGCACTGTGTGGATCCACTAATTGACAGACAACAGCAACAGCAGAAGCACTTGAGGTGTCTAAAACATGCAATGCAATGTTGAGGTGGATGGTGGCAAAGCACAATATTGCTTCAAAGGGTGGCAGGAGAAGCACAAGCACATGACACATCTCCTTTCATCTCCAAACCGCATTCCCCTCACCACAGGCATTTATGGCTGGAGAGGCAGTATCCAGGGGCGCATAGAAGCGGCCCTCGCACAGGTCGAGCCTGTACACCTCTGGACCATCGCCCACAACCAGCAAGTGGGCCAGGAA